TTTATAGTTAGGGCTGGCTCAGGTTTATAGTTAGGGCTGGCTCAGGTCTCTATTAGTGTGGAAACATGTGGATGTTGTGCACTTAACCAGGAGAGGTTTTTACTGGAAAGTCTGAGGAACCAAAACCTGGAATATACTACATTTTAACACAAAAGACAGCTATAAACTGTCCTCCAAGTTATTAGAATACATGCTCAATATTTTCAAATATATTAACTTTTGATTAAAAATGTCACACAAAAGATTCACCACAAAATGATACTTGGACATTTTTTATTTTTTAATCATTGAGGATTTAAAACCAGAGTGAAGACAGAGAAACTATTTTCATAAATAAAGACAATAATCTGCTTGACACAGCTCTTCATCCATCATATACTCATATGTTAAAGTACATTATTCATATGTGCTCTGGAGGTCAGGTGTTACTTAGACACATGAACGAAAAGACTGAAGATTGATTAGATAAACTGTGAGTTACCAGCAGAGACTGGTAGTTTTCTCCTCAGTGTAACGACGGACCAGTAGATGCCCATCCATCCATTTAATCTTGTCCACCCTCGTCCACATAAAACGTCCACATCCTCCTTCACAGGGTTCAAGGGCTGTCTAGGAGTTGTTTAGGAGTTGAGATGTCTAAGAGTTGTCTAGCGTTATCTAGTAGGTGTTTAGGAGGTTTCTACCAGCCTCTTCTTTTAGATGTAGGATTAACTCTATACAACCACATCAAGGCTCTCTGAGTCCACAGTGAAGGTACAAAGATAAATCCACCTTTAAATCAAACATCAGTTTCTCTCCTCGTCTCATTGTGTGTTTGTTAAAACTCCACCATCAGCAGCTTGTGTGCATATTTCTTCAAAAGTACGAAAGTGGTGTTTTCTCACGGGACGTGACATCATCACAGGGTCACATGACATCCACAAAGAAATCACCGGGGTTTCCCACGGCCAGGCAGAACAACTGCCGACCTGGAGGCGACGGAGCCGGCGGGAGGTCCTGAGAGTCTTTGTTACCATGGAGACCAGAGCAGGAGGTCGGAGGTCGCCGGATGCCGTCGTCACCGTGAGACTCTGCCGCCAGATCTTTGTCGGGCGAAGCACTCACTTCCTGTTTGGTCATCTCTGATTGGCTGCCTCGTCCTCCCTTCTTCTGACCGTCACTACAATTTGATTCGCTGCTGTGACTTCCTGTTCGCATCAAAACATGATGTTGTTAAAGTGTAGTGTTACTGTTGTTAAAGGGTAGTGTTAAGTGTTGCTGTTGTTAAAGTGTAGTGTTACTGTTGTTAAAGTGTAGTGTTACTGTTGTTAAAGTGTAGTGTTGCTGTTGTTAAAGTGTAGTGTTGCTGTTGTTATAGTGTAGTGTTGCTGTTGTTAAAGTGTAGTGTTACTGTTGTTATAGTGTAGTGTTACTGTTGTTAAAGTGTAGTGTTGCTGTTGTTAAAGTGTAGTGTTACTGTTGTTATTTTAATCTACTTCCTGTCTGTCCGTCCGTCCTACAGAGGGACTTCTGCTCTTCTTAGCTTTTTAACATTTTAAAGGGCTCCTTGTGATCGGAGGGTCTGAGGACGGACTGTATTTGTGATTTTCGGTTTAATAAATTAAATTTACTTGTTTTTGAAAAAGACAATAATATTTCACTCCAAAATGTGTTTTTAGAGATCAACTGATTCTTATTCTCAGAAAAACTAACCATGAAGCAGGTTTTGTGGTGTATAAATGTTAGTAACTCCAGAGGAGTCAATCTATAAAGATCAATGAATAATAAAAAGATGAATTCATATTTACTGTTGCGCCCCCTATGGGCAACAAGGCATATCTGCACATCATTCAGTAACCAACCAGGAAAAAGCACAGAGTAAAACAAATATATGTTTTCTAAATATGTTAAGGTACAACATCTAATAAAAATCGATATAAATATGTCGGATCAAAAAAACCGCTCATAAGTTATTGAATAAAATAAGATGATGGTTTACAGGCAGGATAGAAGACACATGTCACCTTCACTGTGCTGACTTCCTCCTCCTCCTCCTCCTCCTCCCCAGGCCGGCAGCTGGTGGAGGGGGGAAGGCGAGCTGTAGGGGTGAGGGACGGGGTACTGGTAGGGGAAGGCCGGGGGCCTCTGGGGGCCCGATGCCGGAGCCAGAGGGTCACAATCTGATCCTCCTCCTAGACTGGACTCTTCTTCGGGATCCAGCAGAGTCATCACACCCAGATCTGACAGACAGGAGGAATCAGTAGTATTGATCCGTATGAGGTACTAGTCCTAGAACTGGTACTAGTCCTAGAACTGGTACTAGTCTTAGGACTGGTACTAGTTCTAGAACTGGTACTAGTCATAGGACTGGTACTAGTCCTAGAACTGATACTAGTTCTAGAACTGGTACTAGTCCTAGAACTGGTACTAGTCCTAGAACTGGTACTAGTCTTAGGACTGGTACTAGTTCTAGAACTGGTACTAGTCATAGGACTGGTACTAGTCCTAGAACTGATACTAGTTCTAGAACTGGTACTAGTCATATAACTGGTACTAGTCATAGAACTGGTACTAGTCATAGAACTGGTTCTACTCCAACAACTGGTACTAGTTCTAGTGAATGTACCCTGAATGTAGATCATGGTATTTCTCAACAAGTCTGCTCCAGTTTCCTAAAGGACTGTGTTTGTGTAGTGAAGAACAACTTTTCAGATCTCCGTATGTGAACACACAGCTTTCACTGATGATCACTAATAATCACCAGTGCTCCCAGTACTCCCAGTGATGGGCGCTGGTCTTACCTCCACAGAGGTCTCCGAACACGTAGTAGCACTGCTCAGAGAAGGTCACCTTGTTGACGGTGTGCCGGATGAATCCGGCCTTCAGCAGGTTTCCGGCGTACTTGCGAGCTTCTCGGCGGTCAGTGAACCCGTCAACGCTCCGGTGGAGCCAGTCCACCACATCGGAACCTGGACGGAGGACAAACTGACGTGAGACATGGATCTTTGTATTTGAATTCATGTCATGGTGAACCCAGCAGCAAAAATACAACCACTCAGATGTTAGGATTCTTCTTACCAATGAAGGCGTTGGGGATGGTGATCTTCAGCCACATCCGGTCCCGAACCTCCAGACCTGACTCAGGATTGGCCATCGCGGTGACGACCACCGTCATGTCGCTGTGGATGGTGAGAAGGTTTTCTTCGTGCACGCCTGAAAAACAGCGGCAGGTTATTGGAAGCATAGGTGGTGACGGAGGGATGCTGCAGTGGCTGATGGGAGTCTCACCGTAGTGGGGGGGGAGCTTCCCCGTCATGGCGGCCGTGTGCGACACCCAGGCAGCTGGGTCAATCGGACGGACCGGCTCACCTACGAGGACAGACGGAGGACACGAGGACAGACGGAAGACACGAGGATGGACAGAGGACAGACAGATGACATGGGACAGACGGAGGACACGAGGACAGATGGAGGACACAAGGACAGACGGAGGACAGACGGAGGACAGATTAGTGTGTTTCAGTTTAATGTGAGAGAGGAGGAAACTTTCTGTCAACACGATGAAAACTCACTCCTCGGAAGACTGAAGCAACCGCGAGGACTCGGATCCCAACACTTAGCCACCGTCAACGTCACCGGACTACAGAGAGACAGACAGGTAGAGAGAGAGGGACAGACAGGTACATATTGATGTGAATACATTACATTACAGTCAGTTAGCAGACGCTTTTATCCAAAGCAAATTACAATTCAGATCCTATCACACCATAGGCTCAGCTACGGGAGCAATTTGGGGTTAAGTGTCTTGCTCAAGGACACATCGACATGCAACTAGCGGACTCGGAGCCGGGGATCGAACCGCCGATCCTCTGATTGAAGGATGGCCCTGCTCTCCACTTAGCCACCGTCGCCGAGATATATGTTACATTATGTACTATTAGTAGAAGCAGTAGTAATAGTAGTATTAGCAGGAGTACTATGATTAGTAGTATTAGACGTCTCACCCTGGTTTGTGGACGATCTCTCTGAGGACTCGAACAGCGTCGTCGTTACTCATGTTCTCAAAGTTCATGTTGTTCACCTGAGAGACAGACAGACAGACAGACATAGAGACAGACACATGTTTATCTACTCACTTAATACAAGTAGTACTTCTAAGAGTACTATAAGTACCTCTAACAGTAGTACGAGTACCTCTAGCAGTAGTGTTAGTATTTCTAATAGTAATATTAGTACCTCTTAGAGTAGTATTTGTACTTCTAACAGCAGCATTAGTACCTCCAATAGTAGTATCAGTACTTCTAATAGTAGTATTAGTACCTTCAATAGAAGTATTAGTACTTCTAACAGCAGTATTAGTAGTACCGCTAAGGGTAGTACTATTACCATGAACGGTAGTATTAGTAGTACCAGTAGGGATTTCCCCCTGTCCATCCCCCTTGTCCAGTACCACTAACCGTAGTATCAGTAGTATTAGTAGTACCACTAGCAGTATCAGTAGTACTAGTAGTACCTGCAGTAACATGTCTCCAGGCTCGATGCGTCCGTCTGCTGCCACAGCTCCTCCCTTCATGATGGAGCCGATATAAATACCTCCGTCTCCTCGCTCGTTACTCTGACCTACGATACTGATACCCAGGAAGTTATACCTCTCTGTCAGACAGACAGCAGGACAGGGGGACAGAGAGACAGTTAGTTGAACAGGTTTATTGACGTCCACTTCTCTTATTGTGTCAAAAATTAGAGGTAGTTGAGTATCTTCTGGTACTACTTCTTCTGATTCTACTTCTTCTGGTTCTACTTCTTCTGGTACTACTTCTTCTGATTCTACTCCTTCTGACTCTACTCCTTCTGGTTCTACTTCTTCTGGTTCTACTTCTTCTGATTCTACTCCTTCTGATTCTACTCCTGGTTCAAATTTTTCTGATTCTACTTCTTCTGATTCTACTTCTTCTGGTACTACTTCTTCTGATTCTACTTCCTCTGGTCCTACTTCTTATGATTCTACTTCTTCCAGTACTACTTCTTCTAGTACTACTTCTTCTGGTACTACTTCTTCTGATTATAATTTTCTGGTACTAGTTCTTATGGTACTACTTTTTCTGGTACTATTTCTTCTGATTCTACTTCTTCTGATTCTGCTCCTTCTGGTTCTACTTCTTCTGATTCTACTTATTCTGGTACTACTACTTCCGATTCTACTTCTTCTGATTCTACTTCTTCTGGTACTACTTCTTCCGGTACTACTTCTTCTGGTACTACTTCTTCTGATTCTACTTCTTCTGGTACCACTTCTTCTGGTAGTACTTCTTCTGATTCTACTTCTTCTGGTACTACTACTTCTGATTCTACTTCTTCTGATTCTACTCCTT